TACTGGTTGAAGACTTATCTACAGATCAAATAGATTTATTAAAGAATAGTGATAACTGCATCAAGTCTTCAACATTTTTGACCAAAGCTTTCAATTGACAATAGATTTACTTATTATATATCCATCTACTTCATTACACCAAATGCGTATAATCTTCTAGTGGAAAAGCAGCGTCCATTCAATCAAGATACCTATTTGAACTTTAAAGAACTAAAAACCATCGAAATTGAGAGAAAAGATTGAGGAACTATACCTACTTTATTTTCTCTCGGTTACGCTTGATTACATGAACTTCGGTTTCGTAACACGACGGTTCTCCATCTTTCGAGATATTTGAAGTGTAACTTTAGCTTTTCTTGACGGTCTTTGTATAGGCGAAGCTCAACAATTTTCAAATATTCAAAATTTTTTCATTAAATCGCTGTAGGAAGCACTATTCAGCTCTTGAGTCTATTACTTACTGGTGGTAGTTGTTGTTGTTGTTGTTGTTGTAGTTGTTGTTGTGGTTGTTGTGGTTGTTGTTGTTGTTGTTGTTGTTGCTGTAGTTGTTGTTGTGGTTGTGGTTGTGGTTGTTGTTGTTGTTGTTGTTGTTGTTGTTGTTGTTGTTGTTGTTGTTATTGTGGTTGTTGTTGTTGTTGTTGTCGTTTTAGTCGTAGTAGTCGTTGTTGTTGTAGTTGTTGTTGTTGTCGTTGTCGTTGTTGTTGTTGTGGTTGTTGTTGTTGTCGTTTTAGTCGTAGTAGTCGTTGTGGTGCCTAAAATTAGTCACAAATCAGAACTCTAAAATTCTGCATAACAATTCATTCGCATTTAATATAGCGATAGAATCATCAAGAAATAACTTTTTGCATGATACAAGTTTGGAAGGATGTTCCTATCATAAAGGACTTGCAATAGTATTGGTGGCTGTTTTCATGTTGGTATCCGAAATACAAAACATCGCACAAATTTCATTAACCATCGGGTTGTTGATATCGTTGTGGATGTGTGGTGTGGTGGAAAAAACTCTCACACACCAGCGTCTTCAAACAACACTCATAGCCACATCAATATCCATTGCTATATGCCGAAGCTTTAAGAACAACAGGTATGTTGGTGTTTTTTCTGTGACAACAGACTATCTACAAAAACACATCTACCACTCGAGCGGACAAGGCTATTACAATTCGATGATTGCCTGCACGGCTTTCCCTCTCCACATCTTTGGTCTGCCTAAAAAACTTCTCAGTCGACATTAGTCATATCTTGATTCTGTGAAACTCACATATACAGGGTGGCGCATAAGTCACTTTACCGAAAAAAAATTGAATATCTTCATTATGGCTGGAGCAAATGAGCTGATTTTTTTACCAATAATAGAGGCATGTACAAGCTTTATATCCATAAAGACATGCCTAAAGAAACCCTTTGTTAAGTATATTGTTTTTTCTCCTATCTGTCAAAAAGTAAAGCTTTTTTTGTTGAGATCAATAGTGATACTTAACAAAAGGTCTCCTTAGATATGTCCTAATGGATATAAACTTAGTACATGCCTCTATCATTGATAAAAGAATTAGCTCGTTTGCTCGAGCCGTAATGGGGATATTCAATTTTTTCTCGGTAAAGTGACTTATGCGCCACCCTGTATATATATATATATATATATTCTAGCTATATTTATTAAATATGAATATCTTTGTTAAATATGGATGTGTGTGAAGACATGATTAACATTCACATTCAATAGAATCTATGTGGGTGGCATGCTTGTTCACGCTACTAGGGTTTTTTGTTTTGCGACTACTGGTAAATACTACCGGTGTATCGTACATAATGTCGAACAGCTTACCAATAGTTAACGATGGTTTTTTATGGTTTGAATCATATGATAAAAGCAATCTATCCATGATAAAATCAGTAAAGAATAAAAATATTTTTATTGAAATTAAAAAAATGATTAAACTAAGTGAAAATTATATTTTGTTTGTTCTAAAATCTGATTAAAATATTTTTAAAATATTTGAAATAGCATATAAAACAATCTTTCCAACTATTTGATAATCATTTAATTCCATATATATTTGTGCACTTATTCGACAATAATATTTATTATCAAATTGAAACATTGGTAAAAATATATTCTATTGATTTATTAATTTTTCATATTAATTATTCATTTTATCTTGTATATCAATAGATTAGGGTAATTGAATATTATTAATTGTACTTATAAATTTCTGATTTGATGTTAATGTTGAACTATTCCACATTTTAGCAATTAAATCACTAGCTTGAATAGCTAAATTAATGATTATAATTATAAATATCTGTTTTATTTGCAATTGTTTGTCGAAAATCTAAAGCATCTGATATAAACAAATAAGAACTATAATCTTTAGTTCCAAACGAAAAAAATTAATTTTGAAATTATTGTAAATAACCAAATGATGTTATTATTGGATGAATTAAATTTTGTAAATCTTTTTTAAAATAACATAAAGTAAACAAGCACGTCGATGATAATATAACCCTTTATGTGTATTTGATAAATAAAAATCGGGATCTAATTTAGTTAAATTAAGTTGAATACCTCGAACAGCATATGCACCATCAATAACTATTAAAATATTTATACTACGAAAATATATAATCATTGTTTCAATATGAAATAATATTGTTGGTGTTTGAACTAATATGATGAAAAACAATTAATTTAACATTTTTTATTTTATTTATTATATCTTGAGTTTTATTTAATAATAAATTTGTATATTGCATGAATTGTTTGATGATCAAGTTCTATTTGAATAATTTGTTCTTGAGTAAAAATTTCAGTTGAAACATATTCTAATGTTAATTTAATCATTTCATCCATATGCAACATTATAATACAAGTAACGCGTCGGCCATTGGGCCTCGCTTGACTCAATCCTAAAAGCAGCGAATAGAGACAATAACATAATACTCTCAAAAACAAAATTGTGCACTTGATCGAGTGATATTTTTTGAATTCTTGTTATCGTAGTCGGCCACTCAAGGAGAACATCAAACATTTCAACCGAGACCTCCTGTAAAAACGCCCTTCATTTGAAGGTACCAAAGCAGCTCCTCGTCGGTCGTCGGCGTCACTCCCGACTCGTCGCTCTTATTTGATCCCTGCGTGTATCTATGAATGACATCTTATAGAGAACTACTAAGATCTTCGCTTCTAACTGTGAGAACAACGCAATCTAAAAGTTTGAAAACACTTTTCGATTTTCTTTAGGAGCTAGTCTAGAACAACATAGACGCTTATAAAAAGATCTTATAAAAAAATCAATTGGTGCAAACTAGAATGTACTTGTTCCAATTCTTGATTTCAAATTATTCGATAGTGACACTAACAATGAGACTGATATTGGTCGCAATGAGTCTGGATGAAGTTTCGAGATAATTACATTGATGGATAATTATGACGGGAGGTTGAAATCAAAAGCCATATCGCACAAAACGTGACCAACAGCTATCAATAAAATTCAGTTCAGAGCCGAGACTCATTTGCAAACGTTTTGATCACTAGCGACTTACCTTCATTTCCAAACATACTACACTTTTGAGGGACTCAAAAATACTATGTTCATTCTCGCTACTAGAAGGCCTGGTCATACTATAAGGATACCAGCGAGTAAACATCTGACTCACTTTGATTTCTGCAACTTTATTTCAAAATAAAGCTGCAATGACAGTTCCGACTCATAGAATGTTTTCTATTTCTCTTTTCGGTCAAAAATGTTCATTAGTTCCTGATTTACTGAACAAACACAGGGATGATACAAATTCTATACATTTTCTTTTGAATACCCTCAATGAGAGAATGAAATACTGCGTGGATCTTCCTATATAAACGTCTCTTACCCAAAGGAATGAAAGCAGCTCCTCGTCGATCGTCAGTGCCCCTTCGGGGTGCCACTCCTGACTCGTCGCTTCTATGTACCCTATTCCCATTTTCGTGTAAACCATTCACGTAAGCACTTTATGAAATAGCTCGCGTCGAATCTTCACCAAGAGATAGTATTTGGCCTTTAAACACAATGTGTCTGCTTCCTTTTAAAAATCGCTCTGCAGAGATGGTAACCCTAAATACAAAAAAAGTTGTTGCGTTGATTTTTGTCTTCGACCACCTGTGATTAAGTCTCATTCTACAAACTATAGACTTTGATGACTTAACAGCTGTCAGGGTGCCATATTCCCAGGGGTGTCCCGATCGGGGGTGTTACCCCCCCCAATGTTGAAAAATTTTCTTTTTTTCCCAGCAAAATCCCAACATTTTTTCGTTTTTTTGCTTCCTAACTCTCAAAACAATCTCGTACCCCCCCCCACATCAGGTCTCTTTTAGAAAACATTTTTCAATCCACCTTCTACATGATCGCTCCGCCGACCCCGCCCCCGCCCCCCCCCCCCGCCACCCCCCCAC